TAACCCTTTTACTGATGTGAATACCCACTTTTAATTAAAAAAATTACTACCCAGTGACTGGATAATCTGAGTAATAGATTTTTAATCTGCATTACCCTCAAATCTCCTCTTGGATTTCCTGTCGTATTGGATCTTGCCTAGATGTAAAATTTTAGTTCTAAATGCAAGCATGATAGGTGCTAGGGACGTAACCCTGAACTGGACTGCAAACACATGGTGCTTCTGAGATCTCTATAAAAGTTCCCCTACTAGTTCCACTTTGAATTTTATAGAGGACATATAGCAATTGGTATCTCCAGCTGCCCCATCACCTCAACCACGTCTGACCACAGGGCTGTTCTCAGAAGGAAGGCAACAAGGAATGGTTCCGCAGTCTGACTCGGGCGCTGTGCCCAGCGCACATTCCAGGCCTCATCACCGAACAGCTGGGCCTGAGACCGCTGCAACTCAAGTTGCTACAGAAGCTCACCTTTGTAGCCTTTGCCCTTGGTCACCCCGATGACATCAATCATCTCATCCTGCCCAAACACTTGGTTCACAGGGACCTGCTGCTCCAGCCTTTCTCGGGCCCAGTCTAGCTTCTCGGCCACGGTGCCTCCATTCACCTGGATCTCCATCAGATGGGCTTTCTTCTGGCGTAGAGGAAGCAGGCGCATCTAGAAGAGTAGACACAGGTTAGCTCCCGGTTTCCAGTACTCTGCCAGTGGCAGAAGTGCTGAAGCTGAGGCTTGCAGTCTGAGTCAAGGACACAACAGAACATGTCGCTCTGAACTGCATACACAACAGAAGTACCTTCATTTACTGCCAATGGCAGCAATTCAACTTTGGATTTTTTTTTTTTTTTTGAGACAGGAGCCTCAAACTGTCCCCCTAGGTAGAGTGCCATGGCATCTCAGCTCACAGCAACCTCCAACTCCTGGGCTCAAGCGAGTCTCCTGCCTCAGTCTCCCAAGTAGCTGGGACCACAGGCGCCCGCCACAACACCCGGCTATTTTTTGGTTGCAGCCGTCATTGTTGTTTGGCGGATCCGGGCTGGATTCGAACCTGCCACCTTGGGTGTACGTGGCTGGCGCCTTAGCTACTTGAGCCACAGGCGCTGAGCCTCAACTTTGGATTCTGATACCTGAACCACTGTTAGGATGAACCAAAGAGGCCCATACCGAGACAAGCTAACCAGATCCTGGTTATTAATTTCCTGTGGTAGTGGCATAATCTTCCCCTAGCCACCTATGCTCACTCTCTATTAACAAGCATGCTTTTGGGGAGACCACAAAAGTCCAGAGCACAACAAGCCTAAAAAATTAAGTGAAGAAATGCACTTAGACACAAATCTTTCATTTAAGTGTAGCCCAACGATGTTCTCTAAAACCTTCCTTGCATGACAGAAATGTACCATTATCTTCACTAGTGGTCCCTAGCCACAAGGTGCTATACTTAACAATGAAATCAGGGACGTGCCCAGTTTAACATGCAGACACTCATCCTCATCAAGCCAACAGGGGGCTCAAATAACTCACAGCAAGTCAAGTTTGAAGGACAGCACACAGTCCATAGTTCAACAGCACTTTCACTTTGGCGTTTCGCAAGCTTTTTATCAGGAGCCACCAATTGGGGAACCAGTTGATTATTTCCCAAACTGGTATGATTTGCCTTGCTAACAGCCAGGAAGCACACAGTGCCCTCTGCTGGCAAGGATGAGGCAGGCCTGTACCCCCAGTGTAAAGGCACCAAACCCTTTATTCAAAGCCTCAGATGACAGATCACTTCCCAAGACAGGAAGCAACAGGTGAAGTTACACTGGCAGCGGGGCTGGTGCTTACCTGGGTGTGGGCAATGATGCGGATGACTTGGCAGTACTTCTTCATGCTGTTGAAATCCTTCTCCAGCTGTTTCTTGCCATCATCATCCTGCCATTTCTTACAGTATTTGGTAAAGGCCTTCTTCTTAGATTTATGCCTTCAGGAGCAGAGCAGAGTTGGGGAGGGGCAAGGTGCAGGCCTTCATCACCCCTCCAAGGGGTGAGCGGAAGGCCCAAGGCACCATGTGGGGATGGGGCTCATTGCTGGCTTCTAAGGAGCCTTTTCCACCAGCAAGCGGAGCCTGGATGGAGCTCATCGGGCAGAGCCGAGAGGAGCTGAGCAGAGGTCCACAAGGTTAATTTAAGTCACAAAACATTAAAAAATGCACAGTATCTCACTCTGGGGGTGCTAGAAGACAACCTTTTCTACCTTGGGGGAAACAGAGAAGGAAATGGGATATCAAGCCAGAGCCAGAGGCTGAGGCCCTTGCCACTCCTGAGGTTGAATTATCCTGCTTATCTTTCCTGGTTTCTAGTTAAAATCAGCAATCAAGGTTATTACTGGGTCCTCAGCCAACATCCAGCCTGGACATAGAAGATTGTCAGTTACCAGTTCAAAAAAACCAAACATCTGTGGAAAACTAAACCTAGTAATACAATAGGTCCTCCCCCGCTATAGTCCTGAGGCCCTACACAGGGTGCTCCTGCTCTCTAGCCCTATCCCAGTGACTACTACTGCTGCCTCCTCCCTTACCAGTTCTTATAGAAGCGCCTTTTGCACTCATCACTGATATGCTCAGCAAAGATGGTCTTGAAAGTCCGGAGGCCTCGAGGAGTTTCCACGTAGCCCACAATGCCTACAACCACCATGGGCGGTGTCTCTACAATGGTCACAGCCTCTACAACTTCCTTCTTGTTCACCTCTGAAAAAAAAAAAAAAATTTTTTTTTTAAACAGGTAGTCAGATTCAGTGGGTTGACAGTTGTACCCAATTGAGGGGTTGTGGCATTGTGTTCTCTAAGAAAATGTGAAGTACCTATTTGGGCCAGGAAGGCAACCTGCTTCACATGACAGGGAAATTTACAGAAGTGGGACCCACACCAGCAGTCTGGACCCCCATACCATCCTAATTACATACACTTGTCACTCTCTGTGCACTTACATCTTTTAACTTAATCCAAGAATATAGTCCTTGCTCTATAATCAATGCTTATAGAAAAAGAAAAATCGGGCTTGGCGCCAGCCGCGTACACCTAAGGTGGCAGGTTCGAATCCCCAGCCCCGGCCCGCCAAACAATGATGGCTGCAACCAAAAAATGGCCGGGCGTTGTGGCGGGCTCCTGTGGTCTCAGCTACTTGGGAGGCTGAGGCAGGAGACTCGCTAGAGCCCAGGAGTTGGAGGTTGCTGTGAGCGTGATGCCATAGCACTCTACCCAGGGGGGTAGCTTGGGGCTCCGTCTCAAAAAAAAAAAAAAAAAAAAAAGAAAAATAAAAATCAGACTCAGCGGTTAGGGCGCCAGCCACATACCAGAGCTGGCAGGTTTGAACCCTGCCCAGGCCTGCTAAAGAACAGTGACAACTACAACCAAAAAAAAGCCAGTTGTTGTGGCAGGTGCCTATAGTCTCTGCTACTTGGTAGGCTGAGGCAAGAGAATCACTTAAGCCCTTGGGGCTTAAGGTTTGAGGTTGCTGTGAACTATGACACCACAGCACTCTACCAAGGACTCAAAAAAAAAGGTCAAGCCAACCAGTCAGCCAAATATCAGCTGGCTTCAATTTTCTTCCTTCTACCAGAAATCTCTGGAGGCAGACAAATTTGTCATTTGCCTTGACAATACACAATCCAACATATAACACAGTATAGTAATAAACTCTGAACTCAATCTGGACTAGATAACGCTACCTAGCACTAATATCTACCATGCCTTAGTAACCAGTGCTGTTTTCTTTCCTTTTTTTTTTTTTCTTGAGACAAAGCCTCACTCTGTCACCCTCAGTATTGTGCCATGGCATCACAGCTCACAGCAACCGCAAACACCTGGGCTCAAGTGCTCTTGCCTCAGCCTCTAAAGTAGCTGGAACTACAGGCACCCGCCACAATACTCACAGCTATGTTTCTTTTTACAGACGTGGTCTCACTCTGGCTTAAGCTGGTCTCGAACCTGTGAGCTCAGGCAATTCACCTGACTCAGCCTCCCAGAGTGCTAGGATTACAGTAGTGAGACTGCACTTGGCCTCACTAGCACATGTGATGAAGCATATGTAAATGGGACAAGTATGATTCAAGTTTTAAGTTAGACTCATGTGAATAAGGCACTTCTACCCCAGCCTCAGTGGTTCCATTCACACAAGCTACAGTAATTCCCTACATTGTGCCCGACTTCAATACACTACCCCCACCAAGCAGTGCCATCCATCTGTGGTCTGTACGTTGGAATATCAGTGAGTCCTAAATATTAACATTCTCATTAGGAGGGTTCCAATAACCTATGTTACCCATGATAAAAAGCACACCCTCTACTAATAGCTTGAGCTTTATCTCTCCAGTCCTTCCCCACCCTCTAACTCCCATCCCAACTTGGAGGACGCAGCCTGTACATACTGGATCCTGGCCTATCGACTTCCCGCACGATGTGGGTCATGCCAGCCTTGTATCCCAGGAAGGCTGTGAGGTGGACAGGCTTAGATGGATCATCCTTGGGGAAGCTCTTCACCTTCCCACGATGCCTGCTGCTGCGCTTTCGAGGCAAGAAGCCCAGAGATCCATGTCTGGGAGCTGAGAACTTCCTGTGAGACTAGGAAAATCATACCAATATTAACACCCCAAACAAATCGGCCTTCAGTTCAGTTCCCATCTGCTTAGTTTCTAAGCATTCTCAGCAGTGCTGACTTTTGACTGGGCCTAAAACCAGGTTAATGTGATTACATGCTAAGTTCACCTTTTCCCAAGAATCCCCAAATCCAGAACATACTAAAACTCAACAAAATGTGAGTTTAAGGTTTACTCCAACTTGTTTCAATTTCTACGAAAATTGTCTGTGACAGCAGACAAAAACACACTGAATAGTATTGAAATAACCTAACAAGTGGGTTTATAGACAAATCATCTAGAGTCTGACCACCAACAACTTCGGAACAAACGGTCCGGCAGTAGGTAATGGGTACAGACTAATACACGCAGGCCCCTGGAACGCCGCAGAGCCAAATCAGAACATGACGATCAGCACAGCGTCTCTGTCCGCCCGTCAATGAGTTCATCACCTGTGGTTTCCGCGAATTCCAGTAAGTTGCACCAACCACCCCAGTTATTTCAGAACAGGGCCTCAACAATCCTAACCCAATCCTCCCTCCCGCAAGCTTCCTCAGTTCAGCGCCTAGCGCCCCCACTCTAAGTCTTCCTGATCCCGCGTGTTGCTCATGGAAGCTCATCCCGATTAAAGTTGAAACTGGTTGAGACTGTGGCCCAGAAAAGATCCATGATTTTAAGTGTCGGGCCTACAGGCCAGGGCCCGACCGGCAGGCCCAAGCTAAATCCCACACAAGCATAGCGAGTTTCCAGAAAAGAGGCCTGACTGGGACGCCCACTGTGTCTCTCGTGCTCCTAGAACAGGGACCCGGCACGGAGCAAGCCCAGATGGCGGCGATGCCCCGGGGGATTCAGCCACGCAAGCTACAGAACAAGAAGAAAGCCGCCAGAGGAACACCCACCATCGCGTCCTCAAATCCCGCCGGTAGAGGCCGACTGGTGTGCCGCGCACGCTATATAAAGCCAAACATGACTCCACCCCTTCCGGCTTGCGAGCGCGCGCCCGCGGCGGGCGTCGGGTCGAGGGTCATGTCCCGGGTACTATTTCCAAGCACGTTCTCCCACGCCCAGCGGGACTTCCGAGCTGGGCGTCACCTTCGGAGATACAAATTAGAAGCTGTACGGTGCGAGCTTGGGTTCAAACTTAGTGAAGAGCCGCGGAGATGCTGGCTAAGGGTTTGGAGCGCAACAAATCTACGGCATTCGACAGCAGCCAAGATTAATATTGATGAAGAAAAATGGCCGCGTTATTTCGTCTCATGTGAAACGCAGTCACCTCTGGCATTGGAAAAACTGAACCCTAGTTTCCTGGCTCCCGACCTGGGTTTTTCCGACTTGTCTCTTGATTTGGGGCACCGTTCCCTGGAGCCGTTTCTTGGCCATTCCTCTCAGTATCCAACTGCAGTGACCTGCGCTAGATTCAGAGGTTCTTTGAAGCGCCCAGGGGCGTCCCAAGACTGCAAAACGATCTCAGGACCTTCGGTTATGGGTCCAGCTCCCCAGACTCACGCAACCTGGGTTGTGGACATCCGTGCCTTCCAGACCTCTGCGTGCAAGGACTCATATTGATCTCTGCCTGGAGTCCCGAGTGACTCAGAAGGTCCTGACTGCTTCCCTGTCTCCAGGCTGGTCCTTTCCAAATCTTTCTGAGAATCAAACTTCCCCAATACTCCCCTGCCCCCATCCTGTTGTTTCCTCAGGCCTGAGCTTTAATTCCCGACACTGCCACCTAACATTCTGATGACACACGTATCCCCTCTGCTTCTTCCATCACATCCACTTATCTCCTTTGCTTATGGGCTTGGCTTTTGTTCCCATCATTTCTTTTGGTTTAGTGGGGGTTGCTTTTTTGTTTTATGAGACAGAGTCTCACTTTGTCGCCCTGTATAGAGTCCAGTGGCGTCATAGGTCACAGCAACCTCAAACTCTTGGGCTCAAGTGATCCTTTTGACTCAGCCTCCCGACTGGGATATAGGCACCTGCTACAAAGCCCTGCTAATCACCTGCCTCTGCCTCCCAGCATGCTGGGATTGCAGGTGTGAGCTACCCTGCCAGGCCCCATCACTGTTACTGTTTGTTTGTTTGAGATAGAGTCTCATTCTGTCGTCCTCAGTGGAGTGCCATGGCGTCATAGCTCACAGCAACCTCAAACTCTTGGGCTTAAGCGATTCTCTTGCCTCAGCCTCCCAAGTAGCTGGGCCTGCAGGCGCCCTCCATAACGCCAGGCTATTTTGTTGTTATTGTTGCAGTTGTTGTTTAGCTGGCCCAGCTGGGTTCAAACCCGCCAATCTCGGTGGATGTGGCCAGCGCCCTATCCACCAAGCTATGGGCGCCACCTCATCACTGCTGTTTAAAAAACATTCTCTCATTTAATCTTCACACCATCCCTGAGGGACATCACTGGTAGGACTCATACTATTATTGGAAATCTTTGGGAAAGTACAGCATTCATACAGTGCAAGTCTGTGGAGCATGCTTTAAGTAGCAAGGCCCTAAGTCCATTTTTTTGGAGACAGGGTCTCATGCTGTCACACGAGCTGTAGAGCAGTGACACTATTACAGCTTGCTGTAACCTCAAACTTCTGGTCTCAAGCAATCTTCTGGCCTCAGCCTCTCAAAGTGCTGGGGGTTGCAAGTATAAGCCACTGCATCCAGTCCGTACATATGTATTATTAATCACCTTCATGGCTCACTTTATCTGACATTAAGACATCTCACAATGTCATTCATTCACTATATGTATGCTATTTTCCTGTTGTGTGCCAGGCACTGTTTTAGGTACTCAGGATATATCAATGAGTAAAACAATGTTCCCTGCTGTCTGGGAGCTTCCATTGTTTAGCCTTAGTGATAAAAACAGCACAGAACTGGGGCACGTTCTGACAAATAGAGCAGGAGAAGTAAAGAGAGAGAATGGAAGCAGATCTTTGTGACCACAGGACCCTGATCCATGATAGGGAACTATGAGGCCATGAGGCAAAGGTGGATTGATGAGTAATATGTATGGTAGGAGAACCAAGCCAGTCCACAGGAAAGAAGAAACATAACTACATCTTCTACATATGCCATATACACAGGTAGATTCTAGGTAGATTAAAGAAGTAGACTATAACACAAAAAATAGGAAAGAAAAGTTTTATCATCTATGGATGCTGAAAGACTTCTTTTTTTATTTTTATTTTTTAGAGATAGAGTATCACTCTGTCACCCTGGGTAGAGTGCTGTGGTGTCATGGCTCAAAGCAACCTCAAACTCTTGGGCTCAAGCCATCCTCTTGTCTCAGCCTCCTGAGTAGCTAGGACTATGGGCACCTGCCACAAAACCTGGCTAGTTTTTCTATTTTTAGTAGAGATGGGTTCTGACTTTTGCTCAGGCAAATTGCCTACCTTGGCCTCTCACAGAGAGGATTATAGGCATAAGCCACTGCATCCAGGCAAGACTTCTTAAATGAAAATCCTGAAGCACAAATCTATAAACTAAAATTAAAATCCTAAGCCCCCCAATAACTGAATGGACTCTCTCTTGGCCAAGGGGACTGCAGAAAAATCTTAAAATTTAGTTGCCATCATGAAAGGAAAGGAAGCAGGGAATGCTTCCAGATGCTCCCTCCCTTTTGGAGTTTAGAGGCAAATATTAACCAGTATTAATGTTAAAATAGAGATCATAAGGCTGACGGAACAACTAGGTGTGGTGGCTCGTGCCTGTAATTCTAGCACTTTGGGAGGCTGAGGCTAGCAGATCACTTGAGGCCAGGAGTTTGAGATAAGTCTGGGCAACATAGTGAGACCCCATCTCTATAAAAAATTTTAAAATTTGCTGGAAAACGTTCTTCTTAGCAAAATATCTCAAGAATGGAAGAAAAAGTATCCAATGTACTCAGTCCTATTATGAAACTAATTTATAGCTTTCATATGAAAGCTATAACCTAATTATAGCCTAAGAATACGGGAAGGGGGAGGCGAGGGGAGTGGCTAGGTGGAGGGAGGGTGATTGGTGGGATCACCTCTATGCTTTATCTTACAAGGGTACAAGTGGTTCTTTTGAAAAGTAGCATATAAATGTCTTAACACAGTAAGAAAATGACATGAAGGCTATATTAACCAGTTTGATGAAAATATTTCAAATTGTATATGAAAATACCACACTGTACCCCATGATTGCATTAATGTACACAGCTATGATTTAATTAAAAATTTTTTTAAATAGCCAGGCCTGGTGGCATGGGTTGGTAGTCCTAGCTACTCTGGCTACTGAGGCAGAAGGATCAAGGCTGCACTGAGCTATTATTGTACCACTGCATAATTTGCGTGGGCAACAGAATGAAGCCCTGCCTCAAAAAAAGAAAAAGACTGACAGGACAGACTCTGAAGAAATGAGATACTAAGTTACAAATATAAACAGGACCTAAGGCCATAAAGGCAAAGAGTCAATCATATCTGTAATTTGCTTAGCAAATCACTTTGGGTCAGTATATTGTAACTTGCTGTATGATTAGCAGACTTCCTAAACTTTTTTTTT